ATATATATATATATAAATGGCCTTTCAATTAATATGATGCCTTAAATGTTCATGTTTTTTCTTAGAGAGCAGAAAGCAGAGTTAGAGAATACAGTTACATTGAAAGCATTACATGATGCAGCATTTTAATTAGAAGGTTTCTAAATTTACCAACGCCTCGCCTGTCCTTGAACAATGCTACAATCCTCTGCTTACGCGCGGAGACGACTTACTTGGTTTTAGAGTCCCAACCTTTGAGTCTAATCTGGCCTGGTTGAACTCTTTATGCTGAACAACAGAAATCTGTTTGTTTTGACTGAAAGGTTCTCAAGATAATGTTTTATGTTTACATGGTTGTTTTCCTAGATTTTTATGCTTCTTTATGTTTATTTTTAAAATCCATTTCTGCACACTTTCTGCTACTGTTTTAGACATTTTTGTATCAAAATTTCAGCAATGTCTTTGTATTTTTCCCAACAATTTAACTTTAATTAAAAACTTTGCAGAAATAAAAAAAAATCTCTTCAACTCCTTTATAAACATTGGTTTCTTTAAAAATCTACCTCAGTAAACTGACTTTATTCTTGTTTTCTTATAGCCTACTTTAACTTTTAGAAAACCTACAGCTACTGTCCCTTTATGGTAACTTTAGCTCTTTGGGCTTTTGCTACCTTTAGCCTTTAGCTCCCTTTTTACTGCATTTTACAACTTTTAGCTACCTTTTTTCTACTTTTATCTTCTAGCTACTGCATCGCTACTTTTAGCAAGCCTTTTGCATCTTTTAGCATTTAGCTACCCTTTTGCTACTTTTAGCTTCTAGCTGCTTAAGCTTTTCATCTCTTTTAGCTTTTAGTTACCCCTTTGCTACTTTGAGTTTCAAGCCACTTTTAGCAAGCATTTTACTTTGCTTAGCCTTTAGCAAAGTTTTGCTACTTTTAGATTTAAGCTTCTTTTATTTTATTTATTTATTTATTTATTTTGCTTCTGTGAGCTTTTAGCTACCCATCCATCCATCCATTTTCTGTACACGCTTCTTCCTTTTCAGGGTTGCGTGGGTCACTGGT